TACTTAATATTAGATCCCTGTCTCAATTCTAATGAACCTAAAATCAAAGGACCATGGGCTTTTTGTGATCCACGGGCGGAAAATATGATTGGTACCAAAAAGAAAGACTCATGCACAGGGGCTAGAGCGATGAAGGCTAATTATAGTAATGAAGGCTTGCAAGTTCTAGATAAAGCAATAGTGAAGGTTGTGGCTTATAAAAATGCTAAGGAAAAAAAAAAAAGCCTAGGTCTCTAATACCATGATAATATTTGGGGAGAATTGATTGAGTGTTTCATCCCAACATTTATTTTGTTTTTATCAAATCATAGAAGAGCTAAAAAAATATACAAATTTAGATAACAATAACTAAAAAGTAATTAAAACAGTCCATGAATTGATGAAATAATTGAATAATAATTATATTGCTTCACAAATTTATGAGATGGTGCAAATAATCCCACAAAACTTAGAGTTGGCATGACATGAATAAGGTAGATGATTGTTGGGCTTGATACAACACTAACAGAGGCAGAATTTTTGGGGCGGATTTGATGAGAGTAGATTTTTCCACAATTTGCTCACACTTTTCCTATAAATATCCTTTGTATATTCCTTATTCATTAGAGATTATTGCTCTTCTAAGCTGCAACCTACAAATCATGCGTTCCCCTTCCAAGATTTGTGAGATGCCATTCTTTCTTGAGTGAGTCTAAAATTGTGAGAGATAGTTGGAAGCCTTCTCCAAGTATAATAATATTTTTTTTACTATTATTCTATGCTTCTTCAACCTTCAAAACTTTTCCAAAAAACGATTAATTACACACTCCCTAGTCAAGCAAAAATCCTACTATTTTCAAATGAAACATTTTGCTTGGGTATCATGAAATGAAGAAAAAACTAATCATATATATATATATATATACACACACACACACACATATGATCCATGTCACAAAAATTGACCAAAGCATGCACAAAAAATTAATCAATTTAAGCAACTAAACAAATAAGATATGTTGCACATCTAAATTATTTATTAGCAAAGACTTTGGACATCTTTGATTGAAATCAAGACAAGTGTCAACCTAAAAAGAACTGTTTTATCTTTAGAACCAAGCTCCTTTCTAATTGAAGATTATTGCTAGAGAGCGGGTGATGCGGACATCCAACCGTCCATGCCTATCCAAGGAGGAGCTGAAGATCGACGGTTATGATCGTCCTACGTTATCTTAAATTTTATTTGTAATTTTTATTTTAGGCCCTTGCTAGTGTAATGGAATGATAGAATTATAATAAAAATTTGTGTTATGCACTTGTGTTCTTTGGGAGGACGTTAGTGAGATTCCTATGGAAAGGAATCGGAATTTTCACCAACCGCAGGATGGATCTGGGCTCGTGACTTGAAATCCCTTAGGGAAGGGCAACGTATCACCCGTCAATCTTCGGAAGAGTCCAAGACTCGCGGTTTTGTCTTCTTCTTTTTTAATTATTCTCCTTATTTTCCTAACCGCTACTTCCCCATCTCTCTTTCTCTTATTGGCTGAAAACTCCACCCAAACCCTAGGCCAAAAGACACCCAACCGCCGGCCCGGCCCAATCCCCTTCCTAAAGCAGTAAAAAAGTCATCCCAAACGAAGCCTTAGAATCTTGTTCAATTAAATTCTCATTTTATAAGCTTGAGAAGTTTTCATTAAGAAGTTCGATAAGACTCGTTTGATAAGCAAACAAGTTATTCGATAAGTTAGATCGTTAAAATACTTCATAAGGCTCATTTGATTAGCTAATGAGCTACACTTAATAATAGCCTCAATAAAACTTGTTTGACTAGCTAAAAAATAGCTCCATTGTATAGCTTGTTAATAGACTTAATAAAGCTCATTTATTTTTACAAATGAGTTGCTAATTTAAAGCTCGTCAATCAAAACATGAACCAAACGCAAACAAAGCTCAAACCAAGCTCAAATAACCATATTTTTAATCGAATTGTGGTTGAACACAATTGCATAAGCTCAAGTCAATCACAAGCCAAGCTCAAACAGCAATTTAACAAACAAACTCAAACTTGAAAACGCTTTGCAATCCTACTAAAAAGGTTTTACCATATTTTCACCAAATGAAATGAAACAACCACTAGGAACATTCCTTGAAAAAATAATCATTAAATTCTACACAACCATAACATTTTAACACCATATACTAGCATATCATCGAGTATAAATTTATAGATAGAGTAGAGGAGAGAGACGAGAGAGCGAGGCGGAGAGGGAACTAAAATAAAAAAAAAGATAAACTAGTAAACTTCCCGATCAGATTAATCAATAGCATGCAATCATATTATTTTAAACCACATACCGACACATCTTTTTTTTTAAATCTACAGAAACAGATTAGATATATATTTATGCACAAAACAAACCGGCACGGTAACTAATGAAATTCCTATTAAGATTAATCAATAAGTTGCTTTGTATATATATATATATATATATATATATAGAGAGAGAGAGAGAGAGAGAGAGAGAGAGAGAGGGAGAGAGAGAGAACTAGAAGTGCAAGAAGGGGAGCAGAGCAAGGAAAAGGTAATGCTACATGTGTTTATCCATACATCTTCAGTTAGAGTAGTAGGGGTTAGATGGGTTGGGCATGGGCAGCCATAGCATGGTGCATTTGTAAGTATTGCTTAGCAATAATTACAATTCATAAAGGATGTAAACTCAGGACAGATATATTTGTTATGCTATCTAAAAGAATAATTATATAAATGAAGGGTAAAAATAGAAAGGAAACACAAGAGTGCTTTATGATAAAAAGAAAATAACGGCACCTGAAAGGAAACAATGTATAATACCTCGAGAATAACTCTGTTGAAAGGATTGGCATGATAATAATGAAAAAGTCATATGCAAGTCTAGTATAATTGATATGGAAGGTAAAGATCAGCAAGCTATAAGATTATGATGTTAACGGGAATGGGTCATAAACTCACAGGAATGAAAAAAGTATATCCAAATATGACATGGTTAGAAGTTCATTAAAATTTTGAAGAAATCTAGATTTACAACCAGCTGGATTGTGATAAAGCATTTGTTGTTGCTCCTGATTACCAACAATCCATGGACTAGTTCGACGCTGCTAGGTTTTTAAATCAATCTATTTGAACAAGCACCAAGAAGCAAAATCATGTCAGGCTCAAAAAAGTTAACAGTTATAGCATTACAGTATTTTAGAGGCATGCCTTCAATTTAACAAAGAACCCACCATTCCAAAGCTCCATCTTGTGTTAAAATTAGTAATATGATAATAGTTTCAGTATCCTTAACATGGTTCGCTTGACAAGATACTCCATAAAATTATTAGCTATCCTTTGGTTATTCAGATGCATTAAGGGGAAAGGATTTGACAAGGGATCTTATTATTTTTTGCTTATCCTGGTATCCAAGCTGCATTATATTCCAAGATGAAATCTCATCTCTTGGATTTAATCATTCAATAGCACAGAATGAATCTAATATCATATGCTTTGACTGAAACAAAACAAGTTGTTACCAGCTTTAACCAGATACTACATAATGTTTTCTTAGTCTTCAAACTTTTTCAAAGGGTTGTTCGCTTCAATGTTATTTAGATAATGGTATTATCGAGATAATAGTGAAATTCAAATTTTATCAACCAAATGCCAAGTGTTTAGTTTAATATTATTATTGGATCCAATATTCTACTTGGAAAGATGCCAAGACCTTACTAGAGATATAAATCAAGCACAAATGATGCAAGAGAATTTGACAAGGGCTAAGTCCAATCGATTTATTAGTGAATTGATCTCCAAAAAGCCAATCGAATCCCTTTGACAGAGAACAACATGTTGAACCAACTACATAGTTAATTCAAAGAAAAAGAGATTTTGACGAGAACATAGAGAGATTTAATGTAACAAAGAAATTGTTGAAGGTTTGAGATTGCATGACTTTCACGCTTGACCGATAACCCTATGTACAAAATTGGCTATATTTATCTCAGTGTAGCTAGATATGTAGTGAGAGTAGGACTAGAAGTCATTTGCTAGTCAAGAACTTTAATGATGTTCCAGATGGGGAGAGAGTACCCTCAATAAGTTATTTTGGCGACTAGCCAAGTTCTTTGAATGGATAGTCTTGAATAATGGGTGACTGACTCATATGCCCCTTGGAAGAGTTGTGTAACACAATCTTGAGAGTTGAGCTTTAGTTTGGTCAATACGGGGTTTTTATAACTTTCAGTTTGGCGAGTTATGAGTTGTATGTGATTCAAGCTAGTTTATAATCAACAACTTATTAAGCCAAATTCAGATTCTCATAACGAATTGATTAATCAGACCTAGGAGAATGTGAATGAGCATTTATCATAATAATGTAATGTTATCTAAAAAACATAACAATTGATTTTGATCTTTTGATCATTTGCTTTATCTAATAGATAATCTAATCATCAGATGGCATCAAATTAGGAGATTCATTAAAGATCAAAATCATCATTTTGCTATTCATAAATAGATGATAATCCCATTCATAAGAAATATTCTATAAACCCATCTAATGTATAAAATAAATGGCTAAAAAAGAAATATCAAAATTGCTATTCCTCTGTCTAGCTAATATTACATAATTAAGATAATACTGAACTAAACAAATTGCATTTGATAGATAACGCAATTATCCAAATACCTGTTAACTGAATAAAATTGATACCTAAACGGTTATTTGAATAGTAACGTTACGTAGATAAAACTGTGATCGAAACGACATTAAAATGGGCAGTCCCTAGACTTGGTCCAATACCAAAATCGTACCAACTGTACACAGATTCGCTTTATGCTATATCAAAACAAGTAGGAAAGTTCAAATCTCCGATCTTTCTCTAAACCAACAAACATTTGAGCCAACTGAAACAAGCACAAACAAATCTTGACGACCAAAAGCTGAAATCAGCAAAAAACAGACAAAAGCAGCAGCTGAAAAATCCGTGAGTTCACGAGTGTATACCCCGGGTCGCGATTTAAGATATCACAGATCTCGATGTTCATCGCCCAATCCGGGCCGATAAGCTCATCATTCGTCGCGCGATCCACCAGCGTTCCGCCCATCGCCGCCGATAACAAACCAATTCTTCCGCCGCCCTAGCACCGAATCGGGAGAAATTATTGTGTGTGTGGAATCCGGGATATAGAGGTATGTTAGGATGCTTATGTGTAAAGTGGAAAGCCGGGATATTTATTTGACTTGTGGCAATCCGATGAGATCTTGATCCGGTCAAAATCATTTGTCTTGCAGTCCGACTCGGCCAAACGTTAAATTTAGGGTTGGTACTTCTTTTTTTCATGATTTAAGGCACGAATCATCGTAATATATAATGCTTTCAGTCAAAATTTTCGTAGAAAAAATGACGATGAAGATGAAGATTGATCTAGATCTGGAGGAAGACGTTTGTTTTTATAAGCAGACAATATTCTCTCAGGACTCGGAGGAAGCTGATAATCTGAATGCAGAAGTCCAGGAAACGAGCTCGCAGGAAGCAGAACAGTTAAAACTAGTGCGACTAGAGGGAAAGTTCAGCTTATCGATAAAATTCGCCTCCTTCCAAGTTTTCTTTACATCAATGTTGTCATTAAATTTCTTTACAGAGATATTTTTTTGATATATTTATTGTATTTAACAAAGATGCTCACTTTTATCAACAATGTATATAATGTTAAATTGTAATTGACTTTAAAAGAAAAGTCGATGGTCCCTTCTTTTAAAGTAGTATTGAGCTAGGGTACATTAAGGACTTTGTAGAACGATTTACGTATTGCTACTCTTTTGTTGCGTATTCATTGCGTAAATTGTGCGTATTGATTAAGTATTTATTGCATATTCGTTCGGTATTCATTGTGTATTTATTGCTTAATTAATATTTATTTATTGTGTATTTATCAGGATGTTTATGTTAATGAGAAAGATGCATACGAGACTTATTGTAATTATGACCAAAATTTTGATTTTAGTGTTCGTAAGGATCATTACAGTTATTGGCCAAATTCCAGAATAATAAAATCCAATGACTTTATTTGTTCAAAAGCTGGTTTCAAGAAGTTGCATGATCTCAATATCCAAAGGAAATATCGGAAACCAGACATCCGAACTGGTTGTCCAGCTATGATTAGGTTTACAGTGGATGAAGTTGGATATTGAAAGGTGAAAAAATTTATTGAAAATCACAATCATGATTTACCTAGAGCAGAAGATCGGCATCTAATTAGATCATGCAGGAATGTGTGTGATGAAAAAGCTTCAGTTCTTAAATCAATGATAGAAGCCGGGATAAGAACCATTGATGCATTTTCCTTCCTTGCTGATGAAGTTGGAGGTGTCGAAAATATTGGATTCACAAGAAGGGATGCGTACAACTTTATTCAAAAAAATAAAAAAGAGCAAAGATTGAATTTAGGGACACTAATACTTTGATTCAGTTATTTAAAGAACGTCAACTTAATGACAACATGTTCGCTTGGGATGTCCAGAATGATGAATTTGATAGATTGTTAAATTTTTTTTTTTGGGTTGATGAGTTTGGTAGGATAGATTATGACTGTTTTGATGATGTGGTAATTTTTATACAATTTATAGGCTTAATAAGTATAATTTGGTATGTGTATCATTTGTCGGGGTTAATAATCATTGAAAAAATATTTTACTTAGGGTGGCCTTTTTGCCAGAAGAGACGATTGAAATATTTACGTGGCTATTTATAACTTTTGTGAGAATGATGGGTGATAAACATCCAAAAATAATATATATATAGATCAAGACCAGGCAATGGCTAAGGCCATAGAAGTTGCATTACCTCACAGTCACCATAGACTGTGCCAATGGCATATCCGTAAAAAGGCTCCATCAAAAGTATCGTGCTACAATACCAATAACAAAGTCAAAGGCATCTTCCATAAGTTTTTGAGCAAATATGACTCTGAGGAAAAGTTTGAGAATACATGGGCTTAAATGATCAAGGGAACCTCCACGATCATGTTTGGTTGGAGGATCTTTATATGATAAGGAATAAGTGGTCAACAGCCTTCAATAAGGATTATTTTAGTATATACATTCTATCCACACAGCGTAGCAAGACTAATAATATGTGTCATGGCATTTCTAAGCCCACAAGTTCTATAACTGATTGTTTTCTGGATTTAGAGAAGGAGATGAGGAATTGGTTCCAAAATAAACACAGGATGAGAATTATAGATGCAGCCAGTCCGAAATAAAACCTGTAATAAAAAACTGCTCAATATTAAAGTAAGCTGCTCAATTTTATTCAAAGAAATTATATTCATTTTTTGAACCAAAATTTTTATAATGTGTGTGTGTAATGAGTATAGAGATTGTGTCCTGTGATTCTTTAAAATTTTTTGTCTATTGCATAGAGAAAAAGGATCATTCTAAATTATGAGTTATTGATTCTGATACACAGAATGGTAACATTCAATGCTTTTGTAGGAAGTTTGAAATAATGAGTTTATTATGTTCTCAATGTATAATAGTTTTGAGGCAAATGGCTATTTGGAAAATCCCTAAGAAGTACCTAATGTTGCGATGGTCAGCATGAGCTCAAAAAGATATATATTATAGTCAAAATTTGAAAGAATCTTCTTAGAATAAATCTGAAGATAGTAGCGGATTCATATTCAGAAAATTATATCAGCAGGTTTGCATATGAAATGAGCACACGAGCGTAGCTGAATGAGGAGGCTGAACAATTTATGTTGGCTGCGATGAAGGATATGTCAGAAAATCTCGATTTAATTGTTTATGGGAAGAGAAAGAATAGTATGATTTTATTTTCTGATTAATTTATTTATTGCATATTATGACATATTGTTATTAAATTTTTTAACAGGGAAACCACCAGTGAAGAAAAACACAACAAAAAATTCTACTCCTTCAAATCAATGTAATTTCACAAACATGTCTGAATACTTAACTAAGGAATTCATAAACTGCGTATACTCTAGTCAGCCATCAGCTAAGCAGTGTAATTTCACAAGCATGCCCGAATGCTTAACCGATGAATTCATAAATTCTGTACACTCCAGTCAGCCATCATCTAAGCAGTGTAATTCTACAAGCATGTCTGAGTGCTTCATCGAGGAATTCATATCAAGCATACCGTCCAGTCAGGCATCAGTAAAGCTGTTCGCAAACATACCCGAGTGCTTTGAGAGCTTCAACGAGAAATTCATAGCCGGGATACTGTCTAGTTAGCCATCAGTAAAGCGAGTAAAGTATTGTAATTTTATAAGCATACCCAAATGCTTTACCAAGGAATATATAAAAGGTGTACCCTCCAATAAGCCATCAGCTAGGTACCTGAAAATGATGATGGATATCATTAAATCAAAATAATGTAATAAGATTAATTGTGAACTGATACTTAGTTTGTATGTGTACCTTATGCGCACACCGTGCTTATCAATTTGTATTATTATATTTTGAAGTGTTTTATAATAATTGATATAGTCATAACTCATTGGAAGTGTGTATTGAATTCGTATGTAATGCGTATAGAATGATCATACCTACTGCGTATATAATGCGTATGGACTGCGTACCTATTGAATTCATTTTTTTCTACTATTATACACAATCAAGACATTCGATTTGCGTATTGAATGCATATAGTATGCATATGGAATGCGCGTGTGGTGTGTATGTACTGTGCATTTGTTTGTAGCAAAAAAATACTGTTTATTTTATTGTATTTATTGCAAGTTTGAACTCCATTATTTATTACATTAATTTGAAGATTTATTCGAAGGAGACATATCTTTTGATGTACTTATTACAGGTTTGAACTCCATCATTGCATTCATTATGTTTTTACCTATTCCTTTACTGTAGTTTGTCAGTCATTTAGTTGAGTTGGTAGAGGTGGTTGAGGTGGCCGCTTTGATATCTCTATGTATTGATGGCATTTTATTATTGTTTTGGCCTAATTTATTGCTCTCTATTATTGGTTTAAACATCGTCTCTATATAAGCTTGTATGAAGTTTGCTTCTTATATTGTCTTTTAATGTGCGACGTGAGGTTTTTTCAAAAACTTCGATTGGTTTGCTGTGTATTGTGAACTAAACATCCAAGACGCAACAATCCTCACTATTTGGTGAAGAAGCATTGCCGCATCTTCATACAATTCCCGTGCTAAATGTTTAACAAAAATGATTGTCTAAACCTTCAGCACAGGAATTGCCATGAAAAGGCGGCATGTAAATATGCAGTTGGCATTTTTCCAAAAACTAAACACCACATTTTATATACACAAAGGAATTGCCATGATGGGTTCTTTTATCAATGATGTACCCAAAGTTAAAGGTTTTTTATTTAGAAGAAGGGATCATTGGCTAATAGGTTTTTATTTCTTGATTTATTTTTTATCTCTAACAAGTAGTAGTGAGCTGAATGTATATCAAGTACTTTGTAGGATTTTTTTTAATGATTAATTATTACGCATTTGTTGCTTATTATGTGCATATTTGCTTCGTACTTATTGTGTATTGTCTCATCTTTAGAAAAATCATCTTTAGAGGACAAAAAATCTTTTTTCAATTGCTAAAACTACAAAATTCATCGTCTCCTCAATTTATTATAGACGAGCCGAAGTACTTGAAACCCACTTCATGCTCCCTGTGACTCTATGGAATGATAAACCCTCTAAACATAGCCCTACTCTCTAGAACCATAACCTACATTGCATAAGGCTCTAGACACATATTATGTTCACTTAATAAAAATTTTTTAATCATTGCTATGATCCTAAAAGATGTATTTAAATGATTAATAATGATGGAAATTATTAATACTTTTTTCATCTTCATATATAGAGTTATTTTTAAAATCCAAGACAATATGGTTGTGTATTGAATGTGTATGACATGCGTCCGGGATGTGTACTTATTACATATTGATTGTGTATTATCTCAAGCTACGAAAAATCATTCTTAGAGGACAAGGAATCTTTTTTCGATTGCTAAAACTATAAAATTCATTATCTCCTCAATCTGTTATAGATAAGCAGAAGTTCTTGAAACCCATGAAAAATCATAACTCTATAGAATGCTAAACCATTGAAATATACCCCTACTTTCTAGAACTATAACTTATATAGCATAAGGCTTTATATATAAGCTATGTTCAATAATTTTTTTTAATCATTATTATGATG